GTGCTACTAAACAGTCCTTGTCATAGACTCATTAGATGGTAAAGCAAATAATAAGACTTCTAGTAATTGTAGGTAACTGAGAAACGTCCTCAGTGCTTCTGGACATTCGTTCACGGATTTTGCTAAATACAATTTTTCAAAAGGGAAGAAGAAGGGTGCTACAGTGGGGCAAAAAAGTATTTAGTCAACCACCAATTGTGCAAGTTCTCCCACTTAAAAAGATGTTGACCAAATACTTATTTTCCACCATGATTTGCAAATAAATTCTTTAAAAATCAGACAATGTGATTTTCTGGATTTTTTTTCCCATTTTGTCTCTCATAGTTGAGGTATACCTATGATGAAAATTACAGGCCTCTCTCATCTTTTTAAGTGGGACTATTTATTCAGCCACCAATTGTGCAAGTTCTCCCACTTAAAAAGATGTTGACCAAATACTTATTTTCCACCATGATTTGCAAATAAATTCTTTAAAAATCAGACAATGTGATTTTCTGGATTTTTTTTCCCATTTTGTCTCTCATAGTTGAGGTATACCTATGATGAAAATTACAGGCCTCTCTCATCTTTTTAAGTGGGACTATTTATTCAGCCACCAATTGTGCAAGTTCTCCCACTTAAAAAGATGTTGACCAAATACTTATTTTCCACCATGATTTGCAAATAAATTCTTTAAAAATCAGACAATGTGATTTTCTGGATTTTTTTTCCCATTTTGTCTCTCATAGTTGAGGTATACCTATGATGAAAATTACAGGCCTCTCTCATCTTTTTAAGTGGGACTATTTATTCAGCCACCAATTGTGCAAGTTCTCCCACTTAAAAAGATGTTGACCAAATACTTATTTTCCACCATGATTTGCAAATAAATTCTTTAAAAATCAGACAATGTGATTTTCTGGATTTTTTTTCCCATTTTGTCTCTCATAGTTGAGGTATACCTATGATGAAAATTACAGGCCTCTCTCATCTTTTTAAGTGGGAATCTTTTTAAGTGGGAGAACTTGCACAATTGGTGGCTGAATAAATAGTTTTTTGCCCCACTGTATATTTCTTATGGCCTCTGTGGGCTGTACAGTTGAGACTCTGCTGGGATGAATAAGTTCTACAAGACCAGTTCTATTTCCATGTATTTATGCAGCCTAAATTATGCTTCTCTTTTGAACCTAGAAAAATATGTCGAAACTGCAAGTGTGGACAAGAGGAGCATGATGTTCCCACCAGTAATGAAGATGACCGCAAAGTGGGGAAGCTCTTTGAGGATACAAAGTATACAACTCTAATTGCAAAGCTGAAATCAGATGGGATTCCCATGTATAAGCGCAATGTAATGATACTGACTAATCCCGTGGTAGCCAAGAAGAACGTGTCCATCAATACAGTAACTTACGAATGGGCACCTCCTGTTCAGAATCAGACCCTGGTGAGATATCAGCCTATGATCATAAAGACTCTTTTGTCAGTGAGGAATAATTACCCTTCCTACTGATGGTGGGGTGGGGAGGAGACAAGCAAGTCAGGAATAGTCTCTTTTGGCAGGCAGGAGGTATATAAAATGAATGTAATATGCAAATGACATGATCCCAGCTATAATTCATGACTGAATATATAGATATGAGGAATTTGGTCTCATGGTTATCTCAGGTAAATTTCTTCTCAAGCAGCCAAGTGCAACTGGCTTGCAGCTTGGACCTAAGAAAGCTAATGGTGTTTGAGTGAGGCTAAGAGGCAAAGTGAGGAGAGTTTGTGTTAATAGTTAGGAGTAAGCATTACATTGGAGACATCTCCTGCCACTTAGGATGATTTATGAATCCCCAAATGAACCATTTGAAAATGACTTCCAGAAATGGGACACCACACTGGGAAAAAAACTACAATCGTATGTCATCTTTAAAGGCTGAGGAAAAGCACTCAAGCACGCACATTTCTGTTACTGTATATGGTCAGAATAAATGCAGCGTTGTCAACCAAAAGCAAAAGCTCCCTCTGGTTTATTAAACGATTCTTCTAGATGAGATAGTTGGATAGCCTTGCTGGGATTTTTCTTTTTCCTTTCAGTGCTTCCAGCCTAAGTTTATATAATGTCATGCTGAGTGATCTAAAACAGAAGCAGCTTGTAAACGTGAAGGGGTTAGTTAGGTTTTAGGGATTATTTAAGAAACTCAGTGCAGGTATTTGTCGGTTCTGTTCTATTTTGTCATTGGGAAAATGATCCTTTTTCTGTTGGGGGAGCAACAGCAAATCATAGCTATGTTAAAAGCGAACTAATAGCTAAAATACTCAGTGTTAGTGCTGAAGTCGCGGTGGAGGAAAGCCACGCATTTATAACACAAAATCTGAAGCTAAATTAATTAGCTCCTTGTCCCAAGTGACTCATCTCCATCATCCACACCTTGCTGTCCATTCCCCCTGAAGATTAGCCATTCCTGCAGAGCACTCCTAATCTCCTTTCCTTTTTTGTTTAGAAAGCTGGGATCCCATGGACCATTAATTCTGGCACTTTCTCCTGACTCTTTAGGCAAGGCACTATATGCAGATGCTTCCAAAGGAGAAGCAGCCCGTGGCTGGCTCCGAAGGGGCTCAGTACCGAAAGAAACAGTTGGCCAAACAGCTGCCTGCTCACGATCAGGATCCTTCCAAATGCCACGAGCTGACACCTAATGAGGTGAAGCAGATGGAGCAGTTTGTGAAGAAATACAAGACCGAGGCGCTGGGCGTGGGTGATGTCAAGCTTCCGAGTGAAGTGGAAGGCAAAACCGGGGAGAAGAATGTCCTGAGTAATGGCGAGAGGGGAACCTCCGCTACTGTAGGAGCCATGGAAGACAAACTGGCTGGCCAGAAAGGAACTCAATATGTAAGTGGGCGATGCATGTGTATGTGTAGATGTGTGTAGAAGGGAGTGCGTGCGCAAACAGGAGCAGAACTGCAGATCAATGAAAGTAAATTATTTGGAGGTTGATTCTCTCGTAGTACTGTACTTCTTGCATTCATGGCTTAATGTATTACAGCTTTTGCCTTCTTTGAAAATGATGAGAGTTTTAGCTTGCAGAAAATCCTTCCCTTCAGATGTTGTTTTTTAGGGGATGTTTTTGCAAATTAAACTTAATAGAACAAAAATAAATGTCTCTGGTGACCAGGATTGGAGGTTACTGATAGGAGAGGGGAGCATGGAATCAGACAATTTTACTATTGATTAGACTTTAATGGAAAAATGACCTTAGAGGTCACCTAGTCTAGCCCCATGCTCAGTGCAAGAATCTTTCTTTTACCAAGTAACTGAGAAGTAGCAGTGCAGGCTTTGGTTAAATACTTTCAGAGGTAGGCACCATCTTTGAGATAGCCTCCAATTTACCCCCCCCCCCCCCCCCGCAAATCTGAGCCAAAATATCCACTTCAAAATTAAAATATCTTCTGGGTAGCAACAGAGAGCAATTCAACCATGTAGAAGATGGTAGAGCTCTTACAAAAATATTAATATAACATGCCCAACTGGAGACCTGCATAGAGATCAATATTTGTCTTTTGCTGGTGAGTGCGCTATATTTAGATGAGAGCCATTAGTTCCCCAAAGCAGTGTGCTGTGTTATTGGTTTTTTTTTTTTAATGTTTTTCAAGAGGAAAACTGATAACCCTGCAGGAAAACAAATCTCTCTAGAGGGGGAGAGAGGAAGCGGAACATTGAATGGAAGCCAACAAAAGAAAGCCAATCTTGTTTCCTCTTTTCCCAATTAATTTAAAAGGGTTTTGCCTCCACTTTAAAATGGAACTTACAGCTTCCTCACTGTTTCAGTCAGTGAGTCAGGCAAACATGCACACTAGAAAGCCAGCATGGTATACAGACCCAAACTGAGTCCCCCCTCAGTTTGTTGATACTCATGGGAGGGACTCTCTCAACCCAGCATCCTCACATGGTTGTGGTAGAGAAAAATATGATGAAATTTTGGTAACCTGAACTTTGGACACTCCCTCTTCCTTCTCCTCCAGAGTGGCATAAAGAGAAGACCCAAAATATCTGCTTCCTAATTTAAATATATTGTCATTTTCTGAAATGCAGACAATGCTGTGCCTAGTTAAAACCACGTTGTTAAAATCATGAATGATTGAGGCAATCCAGGGTCAGAAATTACTATTTAATTGTGGCCTTTTGAATAACTTGGGGTTCCCAGTATGATGCCTGTGGCCCCAGTTTGCCTGTTCTCCAGGCATCTTTTCTGGAGTCCCACCAAGCTTCCTGTCCCATCAGACTTTCAAAAATATGTATCTGGAATCGTTAAAAACTTTAACAAATGACACTGGTGTGTTGCCTCCAAGTATCTTTATTTCCAAGAATGCCTTTGGGTCCCATTATAAATGTCATAAGCCCTCTTAGAAAATAAAAATGGTGGATAGTTACAGCCTAGTGCCTTTGTCTGAAAGTCTGCTCACCTTTGGAAGATGATAAGAAACTTCCTGGAGGGCAGTGAACTGTTTCAGGGACTTGTGCCCATTGTAAGCTTCCAAAATTTCCCAAAGATAGAGAATTCATGAAAGGCACCATTTTATGAACCGTAGTATGTTCTTTTCATGTATAATGACAAACATGTCTTTGTTTTTGTTAAAAAGTAGTTGTATTCTAACTTTCCTTTGCAACCATACTAAACAATATATTTCAATGATATTCTTGTCTGTTGCTGGTAAATGTTTTCTAATGTCTGGGTTCAAACTGTTATAAAACTAGTTTGGTCAGCCTCTGGGGTCTTTGGACTCTTTGCTACATTGCAGGCTGATTTACAAACTAATTTAGAAGATCTGTTCAAATAAAACATGAACCAGGCATAGATTAAAAAGAATCTTGGAGTTTATTTAGATTTCATGTATTGCTTCTAGGACATTCTGAAAGATTGCCCCTGCTACTCAAAGTTCTTTGTGCTCCCACAGTAGCTCTGAGATATGACAGCTGACTTTCTCACATTGTTCGTTAATCTAAGTTGATAAATACAATTTGCAAAAAGGGAATGGTAAGCAACTAGCACGCCACATATTTGTCAACTAAATTTCCAGTATACCTTACGATTGGTCTGCTAGAAGTTGTAGTTTAGACCACAAGAGGGGCATAAAATTTCCATCCCATGCTAAATCATGAACTGTTATGTAATTTAAGGTTCATCACATATGCAGCCATTCTGCCTGGTTTGATCTAGGACTCGTGAATTTTCCAAATCTCTGGCGTAAACATGAGAAGCTGTGATAGAGTCAAATCATCTTCCATTCCTTCTCAAGGCAATTCATACTATTGACAGCAGTAACATTTTTTTTCCTTTTTTAAATTTGCAGTGCTTAAGATATAGAATTTCCCTTTGTCTGTTTTTTTTTTAATTGAGCATAATGAATGAATTTTTCTTCTGTAATGCAATTAATTATTGAGGTGCCATTAACTGGCCATGATGTTAGTGAGATAAGTGAGTCTCTGTGGGATATAGGACCATATTTCTCTTTTATTGTTTTTCCATGTTCTGTAAAGCTTTGAAATATAATGAAGTATTTCAGTACATCAAAGGGGATGTATGTTGCTCTTTATTCCTTGGAGTCTTTTTCCCTGTCATATAGCTTCTTTTTCTAATGTGGTATTCCTTGGTTGGATGAACACATGGTCTGTTTCAACCATGGTTTGCTGAACATGCCATATGGTCTGGTACATATATACTGAGCCATAATCCATGACTTGCAAAGCACAGTGGCTGGATTTTTTAATCATGTTCAGTGCAAACCAACCCACATTAGGCAATCCATGAATCCAGTCTATAGGGATCAGCATCTAGAAGCTACTATGGAGTTGATTACTCTACTTTGAGTAAATGTTCAAAATCTAGTGTTTATCTTAAAGAATTTTGACCTGAGAATGGAACTGGAGCAAATCTTCAAGTAGACTCAGAAGCTTCAGCTGGTCCAAAATGTGGTGGTCCTACTGGTATGGCCAAGCCATAGCATGCTTATGTAACAACTCTGCTATGCAAGCTATACTGGTTATCCGTAGGCTTCTGGGTGCAATTCAAGGTGGTATTTGTCATCTATAAAGCCTTTTGTGGTATAGGACCTTGTTATTTGAGGGACCGTCTTTGTCCCATGGTGTTTGCCCATCCTATAAGATAAGATATCTATTAAGCAGTGTCCTTTGATGGGACCTAAGATGCATGCCTTCTCTGTTGTAGCACCTAACCTCTGGAACAGCATCCCCACAAGAGCCCTGAAACACCCCCCCCCCGAGCCCCAATTATCTTTTTTAGATAATCCTTAAAGACCTGGCTCTTTCCCCAGGAATTGGGCTGAGGTATAGCGCAAGGCCGATGAGATTGATTTAGCTGTTATAGTTCTGTTATCTCCCAACTTGAACATTTTTTCCCTTTCACATTTTGGTTGTTGTACTAACTTTTTATGTTTTTAGACTACACATCACCAAGAGTTGTTCTGAGTGGGTGGCTTTCAAATGTGATTAATAAATTAATAAATAATGGTTTCATTTCCCACTTAAGCAGACCCTAGTGTGACTTTGTGGTTTCCTCGCAGTTCTGTTTCCGGTGCAACCAAAATATGAAAGAAGGTGACCCAGCTGTGTATGCTGAGCGGGCTGGATATGACAAACTCTGGCATCCTGCTTGTTTTGTCTGCTGCACCTGCAGTGAACTCCTGGTAGATATGATCTATTTCTGGAAAAATGGGAAACTCTATTGTGGCCGACACTACTGTGACAGTGAAAAACCCCGCTGTGCTGGATGTGATGAGGTGAGCAAGAGTCTCCTTGGTTGTCCTTTAGTGCCTAGAAGAATTAATAATCTGTGAGGCAAGGATCCTTTTTGCCCAGTTTTCTATCTCCCAAGACTGGCCACCAGATGCCAAGCAGACCTAAAGATATCCTCTGGTCAGCATCTGAGCATGATGGTTCTGCTTAGCAATTCTAGCATCTAGCTTTGTCAGATTCTCTTTTTGTACAAAGAGGGAAAAAAAGTTAAGTATCTCTATGCAACTTTGAATTCCATTGGCAAATTAATTCCTTTAACTCTTGAAATAGTTTCACTGATTGACCTTAAGTATCATGTGTGCACTCATGTCCCCAAATTCAGAAGCATTCTTTTGCTACTCCCAGCCAGCTTTGAATAAAGTAGAAAATGAGGCATAGAAGCCATCATAAAGAAGATTGGATTCAGCTGAATTCTGGCAAATGGAGGATGGACCAATTGCCTAAGAGAGGTTTTTAGGAATCTTCTTGATAGAATAGCCCTCCTGGATCAGGCCAAGGCCCATTTTATTGCAGCATTTTTTCCTCTCAGAGTGGCCAGAGGACACTCTTCCCCTATTGTTCCATTGCAACTGTTATTTAGAGGCAGATAAATAGCCCTTAATATCCTCCATGAATTTATCCCCTCCTTTTTTAAAGGTTACTATATGTCCTATGGTAATGAATTCCATAGGTTAATTATGAACTGTGTGAAGAAATGCTTTCTTTTATCTAAGCCTTCCGTTCATCTTCATTGAATGACCTAGTCCTAGTGTTTGAAGAAAGGGAGAAAAAACTTTTCTGTCTCTACCTTCTCAGTACTTTACATTATTTTATACATCTTAATCAGGTTCTCCCTCAGTCACTTTTTTCCAACCCAAAGAACCCAGACATTCTATCCGTTTCTCATAGGGAAGGTGTTAAAACCCCAGTTATGTTGATTGTCCTCTTCTGCATTTTTTTTCATTTCTGTTATATCCTTTTTTAAATGTGGTGACCAGAAACATACATGGTATTTCATATACAAATATATCAAAGATTTCTTTATTGCCATTACAATATTCTCATTTTATTTTTCACTGCTTTTCCCAATGATCTTAGCATGGAACTTCCCCCCCCCCCCCCCACTCCGAAGCTGCTACATACTGAGTTGGCATCTTCTTTGAACTGTCCCCAAGAATATTTTTCCCATTGGTTCACCCAACTCAGAGTGTGAAGTTATGGGTTTTTGCCCTAATGTGCATCACTTTACGCTAATTTAAAATGAACCTATGGATAATTTGCCAACATGTCTATTACAATCTAATGGTATAAACAAATTTTTATAATGTTAACTATGAATTCTAACCAACCTAGCCAAAATCCAAGTAAACAGTTTTTTTTAGGCTCCCTAGATAAATTCCACAACTGTGATGCAATCATTATGGACAGTGGCCTTAAAAAGCCCCTGAATTTCTTTTCTGAACTTATCTCAGTGTAATGCTATATTGAACTGAGAGCTATTCTGTAGTCCATCGGAAAATTCATCGGTAGGCTTTGTCCTAGCTATAACTCTCAGTCCAGGTACTCTTCTCTACAAACTGATGTATGCTTCTCTTAGTTCTGTTACATACTGTTTTCCTATGTAGATGGGATGCCTCATGGACAAATTATCCTAGGATCAGTTAAGTGAGAATTCAATTCTGCAAAACCAGTTCAGTACATCAGATGTTGCCATACCACAGTTCCTAGAAACCCTTACCATTAGCCATACTGGGAAGCCACAGTTTTCTACCCTTGCACAAAAATAATCTGTTGTTATTTTTTTTTCTGAAGAGGCTGGCTACCCTTCATCTTCACTGTTTTTAAAAAGGGATCCTGGAAAGTCTTGTTTAAAAGATTCTAAGTATTAAGTAGAACAAGTTATGTCACACCTAGGCACGCAGGAAGCATGTCTTAGTTCATCTTCTGGGGCAGAAGAAAATAATTTTGCAGCTACATTAATGTGAGCCTGATAACTTTGTCTTTCCTGTAGCTTATTTTCAACAACGAGTATACGCAAGCTGAAGGTCAGAACTGGCATCTGAAGCATTTCTGCTGCTTTGACTGTGACTGTGTCTTGGCTGGAGAAATCTACGTCATGGTTAATGAAAGGCCCATCTGCAAACCCTGCTATGTGAAGAATCATGCCGTGGTAAGAAAGACTAGCTTTGCCTGGAATATATAACTACAGTGTAAAGTTACATATTTAAATGGACCTTCCCAAACCTTGTTTCAGGTGTAGTTTCTTGAAAGACCATTCTCCAGGAGAAAAATAAGAAACAGCACAATCTTACACACTGTAAATATTGTTGATGGCATACTGTAATTAGGATAATATAGTAATACAGAATGTAACAATTACTAGCTGATTTCCAATCTTCCTTTTTAGGTTTTTGAGAAAGTGATGGTACTTCAGTACAGTTACTTGTAAAGGAACCAGATTATCAGGACCTTTTTCATTCAGAATTCAGAATGGGAATTCTGGGCATGGAGCAGAAATTGTTTATTTATGTATTTATATGTCACATTTATAGAGCCGCCTGTCTCACACAAAGCGACTCTGGGCGGCGTAGAACAATTAAATAACAAATAAATAAAAATTATCATTATAAAAGATAAAGAAGTGATTATTAAAATACGTCATCAAAAAGTTTAAAATTTTTAAAATATATAAACCCCATGGAGAGAGCAGAATCAATCATAGTGGAGCCACCTAAGAATGTTTCCGGTTTCCAAAAACCCCCAGGCCTGATGACATTGCACTGGTAACCCTAGTGGATGATCTATATCAGGACTTTGATGTAGGAGTGTGCCCTTTCTGGTCCTTTTAGATCTCTTGATAGCTTTGAGTACTGTCACCTACGCTATCCTGCAGGACTGTCTGCAAGTGTTGATAGTCAGAGGCACTGTTTTATAGAGTTTCCACTCCTTCCTAAGTGGGCAATACCAGTTGATGGCAATAGGGGAAGAGTGATTGTCCATACAGTTGGTCATCCTCTCTATCCTGTTATTCAACCTCTGTATGAAGCTGTTGGACAAGGTCATATCTCAATTCAGCTTACAGGATCATCTCTATGCTAATGATACCCAATTATACATCAACATTCTGGGTTAGGTAGGAATTCAGGGAAAATTCTGACATGGTGCCTGGAGACTGTAAAGGAAGAAACAAGATGAGACTTACTCCTGCGGCATATAAAAATGGATTATTTTAGAGTGGAGGAAGTGCTCTAACATCAACAATGTGATTATTAATTTCTAGTTTTCCTTGTATGGTGTTCTGAGCACATCTCTGAAGTAAGGAGGGCTATGGCTCAGTAGTCAGGCATGTGTTTTGCACTCAGATGGTTCTAAGTTCAATTTCAATTTCTAGGCAGGGTTGAAAAACTCCTGCCTGAAATCCTGGAGAGCCACTAACTAGCAAGTATTGATGATCTTGGAGCAGTAATCTGTCACAGTATGAGTTGCTGGGTAGTAGTTAAGGCCCTGGTCTAAGATCAAGAAGACTGAGTCCCAAGGTAGCCTTCAGCCATGAGAATTTTATTCTCAGTCCAGCCCACTCACAGACTTGCTGTTAGGAAAATAAAAATGAAAGAAGACCCCCATGTAAGACCCCATGAGCTCCTGGAGGAAGGGTGGGACATAAATCAATAGAACTTCCTGTGTTCTGTATGGGAGTATCTATGTATATGCCTATAGATAAGAGCATTCTCTAGAAATACCACAAATAATGCAGAACAGGGTAGGCAAGTTGAACCCCAATGGTCTGGTGTGACCCCTAAAACTCCCTCTGAACATATTTCTTGAAAATCAGCAACACGGAGATAGGAAACGCAAGAAAATTGTAGTATAAGCCTTCAAATAGGATTAATATAGAGTGGAAAACCAAATCCTCTGCCCCAAACCAAGAAAATCAGAAGATCCTGGCTCCCATGTTCTTAACATGCTGTTGCTCACTTTGCATCATTGTTGCATCCCCTGTGCCCCTCCCCCAGAAATGTTAAGTATGGTGTGTTAGGTTAACAGTGAATAAGGACATTATCTTATTGTCTAAAATATCCCACCAGTTTGTGAAGCAGAAGTAGTACAAGATACCTGGTTTGTCACTTCCTTTATCCTCAGAGTCTGAAAATATAGTTTGACATTGACTCAGTAGAGAAGTAAGAATCCAGGATTCATACTTCTTTAGCTGCTCTTGCTGGTGAATGAGAGAAGGGAGGTGGTCAGTTAGTATTTGTGAATGATAAACCAGAATTCTCAGCAGTTCTCGTCTGTTGTTATAATGGAAATGTAACCATCGTATTGCTGCATTTTATTATTCCAAAAGAACTCTAAAGCTGAATATAGATACGTAAGCATCAGAGGTTGGAGATTCTTTAAGTTGAAGTTCTTATTCCCACCTAGTTACTTAGGAGTAAGCACTATTGAATTCAGTGGCACTTAGTTCTGATAGATCAGACAAGAATGGATTGTTGGTTGCTCATTTAAGTGTTTTGATCTACTGAGAAATATGTTCTATTGCATTTTGTGGGATCTGCACCTAGATAATCCCACAAAATAATAATATTAGAATTGTAACTTAATATTAAATTCATGTGATGATTTTTCTCAACCATAACAATAATTTTAATTTTTTAAAAATCTTGTCAAATATTCCTTTTTGTGGTTAGATTTCAGCTACTGTGACTCAACTGTACCTTTTCAGATTTTATATTAAGGAACTCATAGATCCATATACAACTATAGCATAGTTATTGGGTATTCAGCCAAGCAATAGCACAGGGATTTCGGTTTACATAATGTGGTATCCAAGCTGAAGTTTTTTTGAAGCGCTGAGCAAAATAACTATTTCCATATGCAAAAATCTTGTTCTGCATACAATGTCATCTTGAATAGCATTTCTCTCAGTGAGACAAATTAAGCCATTGCTATGTTTAGAATTGTTTTAGGGCCAATTCAGAATAACAAGTGAGCATGTCAAATAAACATGAAGATCAGAGAATAATACTGTCCAGCACATAAATGTTCAGGTTTGAAGGACAGATGATCACAAATGTAAAGGATGCTACCGATGTGTGTAGGTGAGTTGCAGGTATTCAAATTCTGAATTTGCAGGGTGACTTTTCAGATCTTCACTTTTTAGTTTGTAATCTAGGTTTGATGAGTATAGAATTATTGTGATATTTATTTTTTATGTTGCAATTTTGTGGATTGTATTCTGACTTTGGTGAGCAGTTCTGAGTCAGCCACGCTGAGGCATTCTAAAAGCCACATCAGTGAATGAATGAATGAATGAATGAATGAATGAATGAGCCCCAAACAAAGCAGAAACGAAGCAATAGTGTACAACAAGGCCAGAAAAGGGTGTGTGTGTGTGTGTGTAGAGGAACAGCCCAGTCCTCTGTTGCCTATGTAGAATTCTTAGGTCCGTGTTTTGTTGGCTCACAGAATTCCTGTACAGTACCATAAAATAACTTGGATGCAAAGAGATCAAAATTAATATAGACCACAGGGGTGAAGATCTGAAAAGTGAAGTAAACATTCTAACCTCACAATTCTTTCACTCCTCAAAGGCTTTTGGAAACAGCCCGTCATGAATATGTTTTCTAAATATCCTCAGGGAAGGGGCCAACTTCATCTCCATGAGCAACTTGTCCCTGCTGGAAACTCGTGACATGCTTTCCCTGCTTGCATATATTGCAGGCAGATTCTACTTAGAGTCAATAGTCTCAAAGATAATCAGGTCCTAAGCTATAAAGGGCTTTAAAGATTATAACCAGCACCTTGAATTGGCTGCCCGTGCAGCTCCTATACAATAGGAACAGATTAACATGACAGTAATAGGTTTGGCCTGTTGACAAATGGGGAACTGCATTCTACACCATTTGAAGTTTCCAGAGAGTCTTCAAGGCTAAAGTCCTGTGTAGAGCACACTGCAGTATTTGAGTCAAGTCTTGACAAGGACATGAGTGCCACGGCCAGCACCCTCTGTTCCAGGAAAGGCTAGAAGTGGTGCATCCACTGAAGCTGGACAAAGGGCTTCTTAGCCATGGCCTCCACCTGCTCTTCCTGCAATAATCATTTGTCCAGGCTATTGCAAGCCTGTCCTTTCAAAGGAAGCATCCTGGAAGCAGCCAGCTTCTGAATTAAGAGGTACTCTATCTTGCTTGGTTGATCCTGAGTCTGATATTCCGTGGGCAGACTCTTAACAGCCTCCAGGCATCTGTTCTTTCACCTAGGATGGAGATGATTCATGTAGATGTTGAACAAAATGTGGAAAGGGGCTGAGTCCTGGGAAACCTCATATTGGCATGGACAAGGTCTTGATCCTCTTCCCCAACAAACAGTGACTGGAATTAGGAAGGAAGGAGCAGAAACACTCCCCATCCTCCCCATTGCCAACCCTTACAAGCAACTCAGCAGGATGTGATGGTTGATAGTATCAGATACTGAAGTATCTAGCAGGACAAGGAGGATCACTCTACCCTCAAAATGGATTATTATTATTATT